TTAATTCTAAAATGAAAAAATGAAAAAAATAAAAAACTATATTGTATTTCAATCTTATATTTTGCACATTTCCATCAATTTGATGACATAATCATTTTGTTACACTCTTTTACTTTTTGTCTATCAATTTTATAAAAACTTATGTTATGTTTAAATTTAAGAAATGTAATAGAGTATTAAAACTTAACAAAATTAAATTGAATAAGAAGGAAGTGTCCTTATTCAAAGACGGAAGTGCCCTATTTCAGTCTGTGTTCATTAGCAAGCCTCTACTCTTTTCTTATCAACGTACACATACAGGTCCTCCATCCCGATCTGTTGAATCTTCCTTTTTCCCTTTCATTTTCGTTGTCGGCATCATCTCTGCCTCCAGCTTCAATAGTTGCGCCTCCAATGACTTCTGGAGGTAACGTCTTCAGCTTGTCTTCTTCTCTTTCTATGTAATCGATCTTCCTCTTTCCCTTGAATTCAAGGATTTGACATAAAATTTGTTGTTCGTCAATATTACACTGTAATTTAACTTTTGGTTTGTTCAAAGACGTTGGTAATAATAATAATGAGAAAATTGGTTATATATGTTTAAAATCGTTTTGAGAATTGGTTATGTATGTTCAAATTTGATCACATAAGAGGCATATATTTTGAGAATTGGTTTGTATATTTTAGTTATTAACTGATCATGGGAAATGAGTTTATGTGATCACAAGTTCGGATTGACTATGTATAAAATTATATATATTGTTTTGTTAATAATATGATTAACTTTTAGTGTATATTTTATTATGTTGAAATCCACAACTCAAACTTTCTTGCGTGATTTCTTTTCAAGTTTTAGTTTCTTCTCCTATGAATTAGTTTTACTGAATTCTAAAACTACTGAGATTAATAACAACAACATAGACAAGGTTGTGAAATTTGTTCAGTAAAATTTGTTCAAACTATTTTGCAAGCTAGAAAGTTATGGGTGACAATCTTTGATATATGGTTGTGCCCACACTTTGGTTAGTTTTCATAATATAATTGTTAATTTCATCAAGTTTAACACCAATTTATGATGAAAAATTAATGCAATTTGTTTCATTTATGGTTGATGTCTTGATGTAGGTATGCATATTTTAGTTTCATATATGGTTTATAATTTTATTTTTTGTTTCCAACCATTGTTAAAATAAATGTAGATAGTTTTTTCCTATTCCGTATCATGTAAACATTAGCATCTCCATCTTCCATCCATGAGTTTTCGACATTATATGGGAAAGATTGACCAAATTTCATGTGTTTATACATGTATATAACTGAAAATTTTATCATGTATACAAAATATAAATGATAATGGATTTTTGTTGGACTTTTTAGTTGTTAAGGTGCAAAGCTCTTCATTGGATACTGAATTAGGTGGCGTTTCCATATGTGATATGGAAGGCTTCTCGTGTGGAAGGCCTTGTGGGTTGAGATTGCGTATAAATACTTGTATAATATTCATTGTGTATGTTGAAAGAGCTCTCATCGTATAAATGAGTAGAGAGAGAGAGAGAGATAGAGAGAGAGAGAGAAAGATAGAGAGAGAGAGAGAGAGAGTATTGTAGTAAACAAACACATGCTTCTACATTTTTGAACTACTCCATTATTTATACATCTTATGCTTAAACGTTAACCTGGGTCTTTTCGATTATGAATGTTGCTAATTCTGCAATTGTCATCTCCATGTGATCTTACATGTGATATCAGAGCTTAATCTTGAAGGTTTAATCAGCTTTTTCAAGATCAACAATCCTAGATGACAACAATTTTGTGCAATCGACTAAAAGATTCGAAATTTTTGTGGTGAGTCTCTCTATTGGATCTATTTCTTTTCATGCCTATTTTGTTGATCCAATTATATTTTTTCAATTGATCTAGCCTAATATTGAGCCCAAATTTATTTCATTTTTGATTTGTTGTCATTTGATCTAACTTTGAGCCTAAACTTCGAATCCATTTTTTTATCCAAATTCGCACTGATCCCTGTTCATTCATTTAAAAGCCAAATCGAAATGTTTCAATCCATTACTGTTCATGATTCATTTAATTGAGCCCAATTTATACTTCAATTTGATAAATCTGACATTTACATATGTTTTTACATCACAATTCACCTCATGTATTTGAATTCGTTTCCTTTTTTTATCTCGGATGATGTTCAAGTCTTCTCTGTTCGATTGATGTTTGTGCATCTGTCCACAGTGTATATTTTATCAGGTTGTCGTTGTTCATCAAGAATAGAGTGACTGATGATTCAATCAAAAATTTTCTTTCTCATGTTGTACTCGTTTCTTCAAATTTACCTGATCTACCGATTTTTTCTTAAATTGAACATATCACATGAATCGATTCTTTATATTCTCTTGATTCAGTTGTGATCAAGTTAGCATTTAGCATTGTCAATCAATGCTTTGATTTAGAACAACAGGTAAAGAAAAATTGAAGAACAATGAAGAAAAAGATGTTTATCAATGAATCGATGGGTTTGATCTAAAATTGTTCAAAAATTGTTGATTTAGTATTTGTCGATTGTGATATGAGAACATTAATATCAAATTGGAATGTGATGAATGTTTGATCTCTGAAGTGATTTTTGATTCCGTTTTAATGACAAAGTCAAAACTAAAAGTCAAAATTCGTGTTCATGATCAATTGGAAACAAATTTTGAGATTATATTGATTCAATGTTGTTGTAACATCCTAAAAATCAAGGTAAAAAATTTCATTTTTAAATTCCAACCAAAGACCATAATAGTTTTTCAAATAGAGTTCCCAAAAGTAATAATCAAGAATCAGAGTATCCCAAAATCAAATATCATAAAATCAGAAGGATGTGCATGATCATGCCTTTGCTTTCCCTCGATCGTCTGATGTATCTGAAACATAAAACTTAAACGGTAAGCCAAAGCTTAGTGAGTTCCCCCAAAGCATCACACACAACCAATACAGATAACAACATGCATAAATGAGTCTTCAGCCTGACTGGACCATCTCTCCAGCCCTACAGCCTATATGGACCGCTCTCCGGGCCTTCAGCCTATGCAGACCACCCCAGGTATCTTGTACTTCATCATAAAGCAAGACCACCTCAACCCAACACAACCATAAACATGTCGACATATACAATAACAATCAATAACCATCAAGTACAGGTCATCATACAGATCTACCAATCTAACGCATACTCAGTGAACAAATGTAATCATCAAGATCTACATGTCTATTATATAACCAGCATAACATCAATTCAATATACCAAGATACATAATCCAGTGGGTCAGCATTGGTGCCTTCAACCCACAAGTATAATGAGGAAAACTCACCTCACAGTCTGATATGATAGCAGAAAGAGCACTGCTCCAAATGCCAACTATACCGATTACTTATACAAAACAAGGACCTAGTCTCAAACTTATTCTCAAAATACCCTACATGCCCCTAGGTCAAACTTGGTCAAAGTCAACGATCAAAGTCAATGGTTAAAGTCAAAAGACAAACTACAGCTGACCGCCATGTTGTGTCCTTCCTTCGCCACGTCGTAGCTATAAATCGCCAAAACAGACGGGCCTTAGCCCAGTCACCATGTCGTGGCAGTCCAAGCCACGCCGTGGTCACTGTTCGTAGAAAAACTTAATGGAATAAGTCGATTTCTTTAATCCTACGGGCTCCAAAGCCTAGATCTATTCCATTCTAGGGTCTAACCAGATAAAGTTTCCAACTTTATCTCTTAAGACCCTCCAATGAGCAAAGATCTCCATTCGAAGTCCAAAAAGAGCAAAAGCTCAACATGGTTTAAACAATAAGCTCTTAATACGTAAAGTCCTTTTGTGTAAAACTCAATTTTAGTCCTAAATAACATTCTAAGTCATAAAGTTTCCAACTTTATGACTTTGCATGACTATAAAGTGTCCAAATCTTAAACCATAACATTTTACAATGTTCTAAGCCACATAATACATGCATTGAGGGAAATGAAAGGGTCAAGATCCTATTTTTATAACTCTAAATATCCCATATCTCTCTAGATCTTGCTGTTCTAGAAGTTATATGCTTTTAGTCCCATATTCTTGGTCTAGGGAAGTTTAGGCTACTCTAGACCAAATGGCATTTGATCTAGAGTAGTCCAAACTCACCTAGACCAATAATATGGATCTAAAAGCATATAACTTCTCAAACAAGAAACATCTAGAGAGATAATCATCAAGTTCAGAACTTTATACATTCTGGGGGTTGTTCAATAAGTGTAAAACTCTGATCTACAAAGCTTGGAGCTGCTTCCTAGCTTCCCACAGGCTTCCTTCTTTCAAAATTGGACAACAAACACCAAAATGAGCTAAAGACACCACAAATGGAGGTTAGGGTTGATAAGGGACGAAGTGGGCAATGCAGGCTGATGAGGGAAAAGGTCTTGGGAGTTAATGATGCTTAAATAGGGCTCAAACCCTAAAAATTAGGGTTTTTACCAATAGCAGCTGCCATGTTGTGGAACCTATAGCTACGTCGTGGCGGTTCATTAAAAGCCTGCAGCCCATAACATACTACCATGCCGTGGTGAGAGTCCACCACGCTGTGGCCACCCAAAATAACATTTGACATTTTTAAATTAAATTTATACTTGGAATGAGTGTTAAAATTCTTGCCCACTTGAATCAGACTTCGTGCTCAAAGTCCTCAACTATGAATAACTCAGGGTAGTGCTCACACATCTCTACGTCGATTTCCCATGTCCACTCGGAACCCTTCTGATGATGCCACTGGACCTTGACCAAAGGTACTATCTTATTGCACAACGCCTTTGTCTTCTGGTCTAGAATTTCCACCATCCTCTAAACATATTTCAAGCATTAATCGACCTGAATACCATCAATCAGAACCACGACTGAATCATCAGCCATACACTTCCGAAGCTGGGAAACGTGGAAGCTGCTGTGAATCTGACTGAGCTCCTCAGGCAGATCCAGTCGATATACTACTCTTCCAACCCTGGAAATCACTCAAAACAACCCAATATATCGGGGCCCCAGTTTTCCCCTCTTCCTGAAGTGTATTACACCCCTCCAGGGCGATACCTTCAGTAAAACCATTTCACTGACCTAGAACTCCAGCTCCGATCGATGCCTATCAGCATATCATTTCTGCTGACTCTGAGATGTATGCAACCTCTGCCTGATATGCTCAAGAAGCTCCATCGTCTGAAGAACCAACTCAGTCTTTCCCATGACCCTGTGACCGACCTCTCCCCAACAAACTGTGGTACAAAACTTCCTCCTATAGATAAGCTCAAACGGTGGTGCACCGATACTGGAGTGACATCTGTTGTTGTAAAAAAAACCTCCACCA